GATAGTCAACAGTCGCGACAGTTGAACTTAGTGACTGTTGACCTTCCTGCCCTTGATACAGGCCGATCCGATATTGCTGTTAGTGCTGCTTCGATAGTGACGGATGCGGTACAGCTGCACCTACGGGAATGCCAAAGTTGATTCCATTCATACTCCAACAAATAATGTTTAGTGTAGTTCCTTTGCATGCTAGTATATTCAATCTGATTTGTCACTGTTTTTATTATTAACTTTCCGTACACTATATATATTCAGTTTAAAACAATCATGGTGTACTATGTTCCGTTTACTCGACATCTCTCAATATAGTGGACCTAGGATGCACCACTCGCCCCCACCCCCCCTCTTCTTCCTCTCCCCTTCTTCAGCATCGCATCCTCCCCCACCCCCACCCTTCCCCCCCTTCCTCTTCCCAGCAGCCACACAAACCTTCCCCCGTTCTCCCCGCTTTGTCCCCATTGTTTCTCGTCCCACCTGAACTGATCCAATCTGGGCGGCTCCCCCCTTCAAGTTCTCCCCTCCCCCTCCCCCTTCAAGTGCTCGTCAGCGAGTGACGCACTGCACAGAGGCTAGCACGGGTCGTCACCTGGCTACGTTTACACGTCAGCCAGGGTCGAGCCTGTACACACTGACCACTGCTTCTCCTCCAGGTGCTGAGTCTGGTAGAGTCCCTTCGTCTGGTCAGGTGTTTGCTGCAGCGTCCAGGTCTGGTCCTGAGTCTGCCCCCTGTTCGTGTCGCCGTCTGTCTCACGAGACCCTCCTCTGGCACCACCGCCTTGGCCACCCCTCTCTGCTTCGGCTCAGAGGCATGGCCTCCCGTCTTCTTGTGTCTGGTCTCCCCCGGTCTCTACCTCCCCTTCCTCAGGGCCCTGGCCCTGCCTGTGTCCCCTGTGTCGAGGGGCGCCAGCGTGCTGCCCCTCACTCCTCCCAGTTTCCTCCGACAGAGGCTCCGTTGCAGACGCTTCACATGGACGTGTGGGGCCCTGCCCGCGTCCGTGGACTCGGTCACGAGCGCTACTTCCTGTTGGTGGTTGACGACTACTCGCGTTACACCACAGTCTTCCCCTTGCGCAGCAAGGGTGATGTCACTGAGGTGCTGATCGACTGGATCCGCGCAGCTCGTCTCCAGCTCAGGCAGAGCTTTGGCTCAGACTTTCCTGTGTTGCGTCTGCACTCGGACAGAGGCGGAGAGTTCTCCTCTGGCCTTCTGCGTGCCTACTGTCGTGCGCGAGGCATCCGCCAGACCTTCACGCTTCCGGACTCCCCGCAGCAAAATGGGATTGCAGAGCGCCGCATTGGCATGGTCATGGACGTCGCTCGTACGTCCATGATGCATGCGGCTGCCCCCCATTTTCTGTGGCCGTTTGCGGTCAGGTACGCAGCGCATCAGATCAACCTCCACCCCAGGGTCTCCAGGCCGGAGACCTCCCCAGCCCTGCTGTGGACAGGGAAGGTTGGCGATGCGTCGGCGTTCCGGGTCTGGGGATCTCGGGCGTTTGTCCGCGACTTGTCTACGGACAAGCTGTCCCCTCGCGCTGCTCCCTGCGTCTTCCTGGGGTTCCCCCCCGACGCCCCTGGGTGGCAGTTCTACCACCCCACCTCTCGACGTGTTCTGTCCTCCCAGGACGTCACGTTCGACGAGTCGGTACCCTACTACCGCCTCTTCCCCTACCGCACTCCGTCCCTCCCCCCGCCCTCGCTCTTCTTGGTGCCAGGTCCCCCCCCGGTCGACCCCCTCCCCCCTCAGGGTCCTGCCCCTTCAGGTGTGTCCCAGGTAGACGCGGTCGAGCCTGTCGAGGTCACTGGTGACTCTCGTGCTGCTGCGCGAGCTGAGCCTGGGGGTGCTGAGCCTGGAGGTGCTACACTTGGGGGTGCTGAGCCTAGGGGTGCGGAGTCTGGAGGTGCTGAGCCTGGGGGTACTGAGTCTGGGGGTGCTGAGCCTGGGGGTGCTGGGCCTGGGGGTGCTGAGCCTGGGGGTGCTGAGCCTGGGGGTGCTGGGCCTGAGGGTGCTGAGCCTGGGGGTGCTGAGACTGGGGGTGCTACGCTTGGAGGTGCTTCGTCTCGTCGAGAGCCACTCTCCCCACAGGAGCTGCGTGAGTGGTTTGCCCGGCGCTGGAGGCGTGCTGCTGGTGCTGGAGGTTCTTCGGCTGCAGAGGGTACTGCTGCCGAGCGTCCCGGAGGTGCTCGTACTGTGGGTGCTGGAGCTGCTGGGTCTGAGGGTTCTCCTGGAGCTGGTGCTGCTGAGGGTGTTGGCGCTGAGACTGCCGCTGACGGTCCGACTGGCAGTGCTCCTGGTGGTGCTGCTGGAGGTTCTGGAGCTACTGGAGGTGCTGCTGGAGGTGCTGATGGAGCGGGTACTCCTGCTGGGGGTACTGGTGCTGTCCCTGCTATTTCTGGCGTCGCCGCGCGGCCCCGACCGTACTTCGTTCCGCTCCTGCAGCAGGTTCTTGGTCTTACACCTTCTCCTGGTCCTCCTCCTCCTCCCTTAGAGGGTCCACAGCCTGTCTCGTCATAGTCACAGCTACAGCCTGCCTCCCCTTTGCCTGCTCCTTCTCCCTACGCTGGTCCGACTGGAGGTCTTACTGAGCGTCGTGAGCCTGCGTCTCGTCCTGCGTCGCCTGTTCGTACTACGCGCGCTAGTGGTCGCGGTTCGCGTCAACGTCCTCCTCCTGTCCCTGGCACGCACCGGATGTCTCTGCGTCCGTCTACTGCTCCCCTGCGTGCCCCTTTGCCTTCTCCTCCTGCTTCCTCTCTTCCTGCTCTTGCCGACCTGGAGTCGGACTCTCTTCGTGCTGCCAGTCCTACTGTCACGCGTCTCCTTGCTACTGCTGTCACTGACCCTTCTTTCGAGTCTTCTGCTGCGTCTGCCCTTGTCACTGAGCTCGTCGACTTTGCTGCGCGCTGTCGTCTAAACTACGCTGCTAGTCTTGTCGCTGAGTCTGAGTCTGCCTGTCCTCCGTCCGTCGGGGTTGAGTGTGCCCTTGGCACGGACGTCCTTGAGGACAGGCAGGAGGAGTTCCAGTGTCTGGCCGCCGCTTCACCTCATCTCGCGTCTGTACTGCTAGCCCCTGAGGGAGACCCGGATGCACTAGACATCCCGACTCCGCGCTCTTACGCGGAGGCGATAGAGGGTCCCTACTCCTCTCAGTGACAGGCAGCTATGGATGCAGAGATGGCTTCCTGGAAGTCCACAGGCACCTACGTTGACGCTGTCCCCCCTCCTGGGGCGAACATCGTCAGTGGCATGTGGATCTTCTGGGTGAAGCGGCCGCCGGGTTCTCCGCCTGTCTTCAAGGCGCGTTACGTGGCTCGTGGCTTCAGTCAGCGGCAGGGGGTTGACTACTTTCAGACCTTCTCCCCCACCCCGAAGATGACCACTCTTCGGGTACTGCTGCACGTTGCTGCTCACCGTGACTACGAGCTGCACTCTCTCGACTTCAGCACAGCTTTCTTGCAGGGCAGCCTGCACGAGGAGATCTGGCTGCGTCGCCCACCTGGCTTCACTGGGTCTTTCCCTCCTGGTACCCAGTGGAGTCTCCGGCGTCCAGTCTACGGTCTCCGCCAGGCGCCACGTGAGTGGCATGACACACTGAGGACTACGCTGGCGGCACTTGGGTTTGCTCCTTCTACTGCCGACCCGTCGCTGTTTCTGCGCACCGACACCTCTCTGCCGCCGTTCTACATCCTCGTGTACGTCGACGACTTGGTCTTTGCCACAGCTGACACTGCTGGACTCGCCTACGCGAAGTCCGAGCTGCAGAAGAGACACACGTGCACTGACCTGGGTGAACTGCGCAGCTACCTTGGCTTGCAGATCACCCGGGACAGAGCACGCCGCACCATTACCCTGACTCAGTCACACATGGTGCAGCAGGTCCTTCAGCGCTTCGGCTTCACGTACTCCTCGCCTCAGGCCACTCCTCTGCCTACTCGCCACTCGCTCTCAGCTCTGCCTTCGGATGAGTCCGTAGAGTCGAGTGGCCCGTATGCAGAGCTTGTTGGCTGCCTCATGTACCTGATGACCTGCACACGACCTGACCTTGCATACCCTCTTAGCATTCTCGCACGCTGTGTTGCTCCTGGGAGACACCGACCAGAGCACATGGCTGCAGCGAAGAGGGTGTTGCGCTACTTGTGCAGTACGTCGGGCATGGGGCTAGTGCTTGGAGGGCGCAGTCCAGTGGTCCTCACTGGGCACGCGGACGCTTCTTGGGCTGACGACCAGGCTACGCAGCGGTCGTCACAGGGTTACACCTTCAGCCTTGGTTCCGGCTCTGTTTCGTGGTGGGCTACCCGCTCGTCTTCTGTTCTCGGCTCCAGTTGTGAGGCTGAGATCTACGCCGGGGCTATGGCTGCACAGGAGTTACGCTGGCTCACCTACCTGTTGACCGACCTTGGAGAGCCGCCTCGTTCTCCTCCAGTCCTGTACGTAGACAACAAGGCCATGCTGGCCTTGTGTCGAGAGCAGCGACTGGAGCACAGGACAAAGCACATTGCTCTCCGCTACTTTCTTGCTCGTGAGCTACAGCAGCGTGGACAGTTGCGACTTGCGTACGTGGCCTCTGAGGCCAACACTGCTGATGTCTTCACCAAGGCACTTGCGCCTTGTGATCATCAGCGTTGCTGCACGCAGCTGGGCCTTGTGCCTGTCTTGCCTCACTTGCTCACTTCTTGACCTTGCTTGTACCTTGACCTATATATACTCTTGCTCTTGCTTGCTTGACTCTTGTATATCTCTATATATGGTCTTGCATGTGAACTGGCCTTGTGGCCCTTGAACTTGTGCTCGGAATGTGTGGTGACTTTGTGATCCACCCTGAGCTTTGCTTTGTTTTGCTTGACTGGTCTTGTGACCCCTTGTTCTCCCCCACTTTGCCTATGGGGGTGTGTCAGAATATTATAGCTTACTTATTTGTGTAGGCTATAGTGGGGTATCCCATAGGGGGTACAACCCAACTAGGGTTTCCTATTTGTACTCACTTCATTCATAGTCATTTCATTCACGTTCCTTTCTTCACACCCCCCCCCTCCTCCTCCTCCTCCTCCTCCTCCTCCTCCTCCTCCTCCTCCTCCTCCTCCTCCTCCTCCTTCTCCTCCTCCTCCTCCTCCTCCTCCTCCTCCTCCTCCTCCTCCTCCTCCTCCTCCTCCTCCTCCTCCTCCTCCTCTCCCCCATTCCCTGCTCCGCCGTTACCTCGGACAATCACTGCCAGCCCAAGTCCCCCTAATCCCGGGTTATCCCTTCAAACCCCGCCCACAACCCGCCCCCCCGCCCCCCCCTTCCCTTTCTAGAAAGCGAATCCGCACTCAGCGTTCGATTCGAATAGAATCGTCAATAGTCCCTAACCGATTCTAGATTTTCCTCACGCAAAACAGCTGTCGTCTTCGGTGCTTATTGGGAGTTAGCAGCCGCCAGTTGGATGTATTAGGTTTTCAGACGCGCAGCTTGCATACATTCCAAAGAGACCACGGCATTCGTTTGTGGCGACAGACCTTCGCGACCTGTGCGGAAAACGTGTTATCTTGGTCGAGCAATCGGAAGCCGAGATTATAGGAACCTGCCATGTGCGATTGTCACGTGTAGGAACAGTACGCTGCGTCGCCGGTCGCGAACTAGCTGACGTAGCCAGGGCGGCATTCGTTTCGCAGCTCTCGATTTTCTTGTCACGATGCCGCCATTACCATTTCAAGTGACATGGTCAGTGTTACATGACACAAAGGATCGCGATTTCGCTCACGTGCCTTTCTTGCCAGTGCTGCCGAACAGACGAAGCGCACTACCCGCGCGCTTGATTGGGTGCTGTCGCGTCGCGCGAGCTGCGCGTAGCTGGCGGCACATGCTGCCGTCTGTTTCGGCCAGAAATCGCTGGAAGAAACACACTGTGCTACATGTGCTGGAGAAACAACAGTGCTGGCACTGACACTGGACTCGAATCTGGAGCCAAGCTGGAGTTTAATTCCTGCCAGCTTAGGGGTATCCTGTCAGGAGGACCCCTCCTCGACGTGATCCAGCCTAAGGTAATCCCGTACCCAAGCTGCCAGCTTATAAAGCTTCGGAAGCGCTAATCACTCTCATGCCTCGTCTAGTTCTTCGACTTTATCCACTCTCCTTTGTTAGTTGCTTCAAGCGCCTTGAAGGTGAAACGCATTCCATTATTCCGCCAGAGCCTGACGAGCCGCCCGGCCTGCTCCTCTCTCCTTTAAAACTGTTGCTCCGCCTCGCCTCCCTCGGCAACCGCAACGCCTTTGCCCGTTTCTCCCCGCACCTGATCATAATGATGGCGGCCGCTGATGGCGATTACCTCCGCTTTCTCATCGAGAACAAGCTCCTGTTTTACCCTCTGTTTGTTCAACATGATACATCGTCGTGCCGCGGCGGTCTGCGCGTCCAGCGCCAGCAGCACATCGGCTTGAGCGGAACTGCCGCTGTTGGCGCATCATCCCTTCCCCTCAGAAACGAACGCGCCGCCGCGGCGAGGGGGGTTGACATCGCGGCCACATCCAGCGGCTCTTCGCACAGGCCCGACGACTCAATGAACGCGGAACGACTCCTACTAGCCATGATGCGTGGAGCAACTCCTAGCGGCGGCGGAATCGCACCGGATTCCAGCAGCGCATTCACCTGGCCGCTGCCCGCTACCGCCCAGCGGCGGTGGGCGGAGGAGCCACGGAAGAGGCAGCGGGAGTCAGAGCCGGTGGTTCAGCCGCGACACAAGAGCTGCAGAGTGACTTGCATGCTGATGGAGGCGTCTGGTCATTCTGGGGCGCCTCAAAGAAACTCTTTGATTCCAGAGCTGCCTCAAAGGGCGTCTCATGCCTCTCAGCTGCCCGAAAGGGCGTCTCATGCCTCTCAGCTGCCTCAAATGGCGCCTCTTGTCTCTGAGACGCCCCAAAGGGCATTCATTCCCACTTCTACTAACAACAATAGACCGCACAGCAACAGCACCGGCCTCCTTCCTAGACCCCGGCGTTGCTGGACCCAGCAAGGCGAGGCTCACGCACAGCTTTCCCAGGGATCCGCCGCTGCATTGTTGGACGTGCAGCGCGCCTGTGGCTTGCGCAGGTGGGAGCGATGGTGGGTTAGTCATAGACCCTCCGTCCCCACCGCTCTGGCGGAGGTACGAGCCACCCGGAGTGCAGCCACACGGTGTGCTGGTGGTGGTGCTAGTCCCCATGGTCAGGATCTCCTAGCGGATGTAGCAGCAGCAGCAGCAGCACAGAGTTGGGATGGCCAACTGCTGGCAGAGGTGGGAGCCACCCGGAGTGCTGGTGCTGGTGGTGCTGGTGGTGCTGGTGGTGGTGGTGGTGCTAGTCCCCAGGGTCAGGATCTCTTGGCGGATGTAGCAGCAGCAGCTGGTGCACAGAGTTGGGATGGCCAACTGTTGGCGGAAATCATGGGCGTGGGGGATGGGGCAGGGGAACGAAGCCGGGGAGGAAGTGAAGGAAGCGGGGGGAGTGGGGGACAGCAGGGAAGCAGGGGAAGCGAGGGAAGGGCGGGAGGTTGGCCCATCTGCTTGAAAAGCAATGGGGAGTGTGGCGCTGGTGAGCGGAGGAATCGAGGAACCGCCTCCATGTGGCACCACGAGATTGGCTCGCGTGACTGGTAGGAGCAGCCACAGCAGCTACAGCAGCGGTTGCTGCAGCGGCAGCAGCAGCGGCGGCAGCAGCAGGAGCAGCAACGACGGCAGCAGCAGCAGCAAGAGGAGGCCGTGCAAGCACATGCTGCAGAGCGTATTTCACCACAGCAGAGTCCCTTAGCCCTTCAACAGGCATTCAGAGAGGGCATTGAACGCCTGCTACACTCCGCTACCCTCCCTCCCCCTCCCTCTCGCCCTGCTGTCAACGTGCTCCCTGTCAGCCTTCTTCTGGAGGCTCTGGGCCCACACACAGCCTCAGCCCCTGCTGCTGCTGGCCTTTCATCTCAATCCGCTGCTGCTGGCCTTTCATCTCAATCCGCTGCTGCTGGCACTCCCGACCCAAGCAACAGCCCGCCCGCCCGCCCCGCTACAGTCACATCTCTTGCGAGAAACCCGGGATCAGCCAGAAGCCCAGCGGGTGGGTCAGTGGATCTCTCCCTTCGCCTGGGGCCCAGCCTAGAGCGAGAAGAGACAGAGGCAGAAGGGAAAGAGACTGCAGGGGGGAATGATGAGGGAAGTGCAGGTGGAGCAGAGGAGAAAGAGGGGGTGTCCATTCCAGGCTATCACATGTATGGCCCATATGCTGGGGAATGTACCTCGTTTGATGTCGGGTCTGATAAATCACCACTGTCACCACTATCGCCGCAATCGCTACAGTCGCTACTCTCACCAGGGTCACCACAGTTGCTAGAGTCAGCATTTGCAGCCGCGTCGTGTGACCCTGTGTCTCGTCCCAAAGCTGGTGGGCCTGTGGAACAGCTGTTGGGCCACAGCTTCACAGCGCCTGCGCATGCACGTGGTTTAGAGACGCCTCAACAGCCAAGCTCCAGGGCGCCTGTGGTGGCTGGTGGCATGCAGAGGCGGAGCAGCGCGTTCACACTGCCAGCTGTTCCCGAGGGCTATGCCCTGGCGCATGGTGGCACTTGGGCGTGTGAGTTTGCTAATGCTGCTGCTGCTGCTACTGCAGCAGCTGCTACCACTGCCACTGCTGCTGCTCCTGATGCAGATCCTGAGGCAGGTGCTTCTATGGGAGTGCAAGGGGGGTATGCACTGGCACGGGACAGCATCTGGGCGTGTGAGTCTGCTCCTGCTGCTGCTGCCGGTGGCCCAGGGGAGGGCATTTCCCGTGGTGAGAGCAGAGGCACAAGTGTGTACGAGCACCAGGCTCTACTGTACAAACTGAATCTGGATCGCCACATGAGTGGCGAGGGGAGGATGAGGGGTGAAGGGGAGATGCCCGTAGCATTCCAGTGGGACTGACCGGTGTGAAGCTGCTGCTGCTGCTGCTGATGCAGGGCGGACGATTTCTTGTTGTGAGAGTGTGGGCGGGAATGCATACAAGGCCCATGCACGAGCGCCATGCACGGGAGGGAATGTTTACAAGGCCCACTCGCTGCTGTTTAAGCGTAATGCATTGCTGCACAAGCACCATGCACTGTTCTGCTGGATCACCATATGAGGGGCGAAGGGGTGCAAGCAAGGCATCCGGCTGGGAATAAAGCAGAGTGAGTTTGCTGGTGCTGCCGCTGCTGGCACAGGGGGGAAGGGTCAAGGCTGGCCGGGAATAAAGCAGTTTTGAGTCTGCGGGTGTTGCTGCTGGCACTGGTGAGGAAGGGCAAGGAGCACATCACCAGGTCGTTTCAGTTCAGATGCAGCCCCTCTTACGGGGATGTCCCCTCCAACTATATACCCTTAATATTGCCATGTATAAACTCTGAATTCTTTATCATTACGATCATGAGCATCCATTGCAGATAAAGGGGAAGCTTTTATATCGTCCTCGGCAGCATGTCGAGGAGGTTTCGAATATCAAACAACCTCTCGAGTTGGCATGGTGAAATGCATCTGGCACGAGCTGCGCGCATACCTGATAAGAATCTATGTAGAGTGGCACACCACTCGACGATCATAGCAGTTGCAGCAGCGCCTTTGCCCACAGCGATAGGAGGGATGGGTCGGGGTCTTCGTGGTCCAAAGTACCGTATCGCCTCGGATACAACCGCAGGCCTATGTTAAGCGCATGCGCTTCTATCTGGAGCAATGCGCTTATGGCCGATCCTCAATTAGAAGCGCACCCTCCAAAAAAACCTTACTTATTATAAGCGCACCCTTGCTGTATAGACAAGAATGTCTGTTGTTTTTTTCACTTTCTTTACAACCTTCGTACAAACTACATTACTCTAGCTAAAAATTTCAACTAAAACTTTCAAGTCAAATACATTAGACTAGCATCCTAGCCTACACAACATTTTTAAGTTTAGTCTAGCCTAAGGCCTACTCCTCGTCCGACTCAGGCTCCGTGGAGTTGTTGCCAAAGAACACGTCTGCTTGGATTTCGTCATCAACCTCTACCTCGTGGGATAGCTGACCTCTACGGTGCGCCAGCACCAGTCCGTCTTCACTCCCGTCAAGGGCATTGCTGATGCCGCAGGTGAGGAACGCTCTCTTAATCAGGTCGGCGGGCACAGCTTTCCACGCCCGTGAAATCCACTTGAGCACCACCTCCGGAGATGGTTTCTTAATGTTACCTGCACCACATACACGGGGGTGGGATGTCAGAATATTATGCTCTAGCCTGTAGTGGGGTGCTCCATAGCGAGTACAGCCCTTCTAGGGTTTGCTATTTGTATCCCCATTCTTGCTAGTTCAACCCTCTTCTTTCTTCTAAAATTTTCACATGCTATTAGAGCAGGTCGATCCCCTTGGATCGATCCTGTGGGTGGGCTTACCACCTCCTTGCTTCCGCTGCAACCACCACTGCTACTCTCTGTGCCGCACGCCACGGGGCGTGCGGCAGTTTTTTCTTCCCGCCGTGCGCCCCGAGGCGCGCGGCGGTTTTCTGCCCGCCGTGCGCCCCGAGGCGCGCGGCGGTTCTCTGCCCGCTGTGCGCCCCGAGGCGCGCGGCGGGCTTCTGCCCCGTCATTCGGCGCGTCGCCCTCTGGAGGCGCCGCGACGGGCGACGGGGACCTGCGCGTCGCTCCCCGTCGCCCGTCGTGGCCTGCGCGCGGCCCGTACAGGCAGCGCGCGGCCCGTACGGGCTGCGCCAGGCCCGCGCGCGGCCCGTACGGGCTGCACCAGGCTCGCGCGCGGCCCGTACGGGCTGCGCCAGGCCCGCGCACGACCCGTACGGGCGGCGCCAGGCCCGCGCGCGGCCCGTACGGACGGCGCCAAGCCCGCGCGCGGCTCGGGCCGCCTGCGCGCGGCTCGGGCGTCTGTCCCAGGCCCGTGGTTGGCCCGTTCCTCGCTGCCCCTGCCCTCCCCGCTGTCCCCCGTGCTTCTACTGGCGCCGCACCCCTCCTACTCCCCATTCTCCTGAATTAGGGTTTGGGGGTGAGGGGTATGGGGGTGACCTCACTGTGTGCCGTTCCCTGCTCCTCCTCCTCCTCCGTCTCCCTGTGCTGCAGTTGCCGCTGAGGGGGGCTGGACGTGTTGGAGCCGGTGGAGTGGTACTAAGGGGGGGTGAAGGGGGAGTGGAGCTAGCGGTGTAGCAGCGGGTGTGTGCCAGGGGGAGTGGGATAGTTTGGGGAAGCTGAATGGAGGTTGCCGTCGTGTCGCCAGCAGCACCTGTAGTCCGGGGAGTTGCTCCGGTAGCCCAGTCGTAGCCAGCTGTGCCAGCCGCCCGTGGGTCCGTTGCTCGTCTGCCGCTACTTTAGCCGCGGGGCCAGTTACTCCAGTATTCCGGAGCGTTGTTCCGGTAGCCGCTGTGCCAGTGTGCCTCCTGTTGCCCGTGTGTCTGCAGCTTCATCCGTCGCCTCCTATCTCCTCTCCTCTCACTCTCTCTCCTCCTCCTCACTTGCTCGTTGTGACTACCACTAGCTTTGCTCATAACTGTGAACTTTAAACTATTGCTTCTTGAACTTGTGCTCAGAATGTGTGGTGACATTGTGATCCACCCTGAGCTTGTACTGCTTTGCTTGCTCTGCTGATTACACCCCACTTTGGCTATGGGGGTGTGTCAGAATATTATGCTCTAGCGTGTAGTGGGGTGCTCCATAGCGAGTACAACCCTTCTAGGGTTTGCTATTTGTATCCCCATTCTTGCTAGTTCAACCCTCTTCTTTCTTCTAAAATTTTCACATGGGAAACACGTGGGTCCACAAGTAGGCAAACATACAGACGAAGCGGTCACGGGAGAACACTTTTGCGTACCTGCGGGTGTCAGGATGTTCATGCCGTCCTGCTCGAACCAAGTTTGGTACTGTTGCCGAACACTCGCCTTGAAGCTTTTGTTGACCGACACATCGAGCGGCTGCAAGTCTGCCGTGCATCCCGCTGGGATGACCGCCGGCACGATGTTGAGTTCCGCGAACTTCGCCTTGACTTCGGGTGTCAGGTGTCCACGATAGGAGTTGAGCACTAGCATGGCGCTCCGGCTCTGCAATCCGAACTTCGGTTTCAGGAACGGCACCACGCCTGCACCGAGCCACTCGATTATGCCAGAGGCCTCCATCCACCCGTTAGCTTGGCAACCGACCACGAGATCTGCATACAAGCAAGCGGTGGTTAGATTCTACTTTTGTTTTTCCCCTCGGAAACACGCGCATACGCAGTTTCTTACCGTTCGGAAAGTCACCCTTTGGGAGGGTCTTGCGCTTGAAAAACACCCACGGCTTCAAGTTCTCGCCCGTCGCCGTGCACGCCAGCATCACAGTGACTCTCTCTTTCTGGTAACCACCACTGCGGATGGGCACCGACGTCACGCCCGTCTGCTCCACCGTGGTAGTCGCCGGCATCTCCAGCCACAAAGGCGTCTGGTCGGCATTGATGATGTAACGATTGTCGATGTCGTAGTCGTGGCGTGCATCGCGGAAAAACTGCCAAAATTCCTTGCACTGCTTGGCCACGTCTGCGCACGGGGAGGGAGGAACGGTTACAAGGGCAGATGTGAGAAGAATTGAACGAGAATGGAATGACTATGAACGAAGTGAGTACAAATAGGAAACCCTGATTGGGTTGTACCCCTTATGGGATACCCCACTATAGCCTACAGAAACAAGTAAGCTATATGTTCTGACACACCCCCATAGGCAAAGTGGGGGAGAACAAGGGGTCACAAGACCAGTCAAGCAAAGCAAAGCAAAGCTCAGGGTGGATCACAAAGTCACCACGCATTCCGAGTACAAGTTCAAAGGCCAGAAGGCCAGTTCACATGCAAGATCATATATAGAGATATACAAGAGGCAAACAAGCAAGAACAAGAGTATATATATAGGCGAAGGTACAAGCAAGGTCAAGAGGAGAGCAAGTGAGGCAAGACAGGCACAAGACCCAACTGCGTGCAACAACGCTGATGATCACAAGGCGCAAGTGCCTTGGTGAAGACATCAGCAGTGTTGGCCTCAGAGGCCACGTACGCAAGTCGCAACTGTCCACGCTGCTGTAGCTCACGAGCAAGAAAGTAGCGGAGAGCAATGTGCTTCGTTCTGTGCTCCAGTCGCTGCTCTCGACACAAGGCCAGCATGGCCTTGTTGTCTACGTACAGGACTGGAGGAGAACGAGGCTGCTCTCCAAGGTCGGTCAGCAGGTAGGTGAGCCAACGTAACTCCTGCGCAGCCATAGCCCCAGCGTAGATCTCAGCCTCACAACTGGAGCCGAGAACAGAAGACGAGCGGGTAGCCCGCCACGAAACAGAGCCGGAACCAAGGCTGAAGGTGTAACCCTGTGACGACCGCTGCGTAGCCTGGTCGTCAGCCCAAGAAGCGTCTGCATGCCCAGTGAGGACCACTGGACTGCGCCCTCCAAGCACTAGCCCCATGCCCGATGTGCTGCACAAGTAGCGCAACACCCTCTTCGCTGCAGCCATGTGCTCTGGTCGGTGTCTCCCAGGAGCAACATAGCGTGCGAGAATGCTAAGAGGGTATGCAAGGTCAGGACGTGTGCAGGTCATCAGGTACATGAGGCAGCCAACAAGCTCTGCAAACGGGCCACTCGACTCTACGGACTCATCCGAAGGCAGAGCTGAGAGTGAGTGGCGAGTAGGCAGAGGAGTGGCCTGAGGCGAGGAGTACGTGAAGCCGAAGCGCTGAAGGACCTGCTGCACCATGTGTGACTGAGTCAGGGTAATGGTGCGGCGCGCTCTGTCCCGGGTGATCTGCAAGCCAAGGTAGCTACGCAGTTCACCCAGGTCAGTGCACGTGTGTCTCTTCTGCAGCTCGGACTTCACGTAGGCGAGTCCAGCAGTGTCAGCTGTGGCAAAGACCAAGTCGTCGACGTACACGAGGATGTAGAATGGCGGCAGAGAGGTGTCGGTGCGCAGAAAC